CGCATACCAAATAATAGGATCACTCTTCAGAGGCTATGCAAGGTTGATTGTACCGCCCTAATATCATCAAAAAGCAAGATGACATCGTCCGCATAAGCAATATCAACCAGCCTTTCACTAGGTAGTACCACGACGCCTACGTCGTGAGATTCCGCAAGGGAACACTCCATGACAGAATACACGACAAAGTTGAACAAAAATGGGGAAATGGGGCAACCCTGATGTATGTCAATTGTTGTCGGGAAGACATCAGACAGGTCACCGTAGATCCTAATGCGGCCTGTAGTGTTGGAGTATAGAGCATGTACGATGATCACATATTTCGTGGAAACACTTCGCTGCACAAGTAGATTGGAGAGAATGTATTGATCTACCGAATCGACCGCACTCTTGAAGTTGAAGAATACAGCTTTTGCCGGTCTGCGGTAGCCGTGGCGTTGCTTTAGCACAGAGTGAATGTGTGGTCATTACTTGTTATTCACTTGTGAAACCACTGATGCGTTGGTTGGACACATGGCTCTTCTCACTAAGACCTCAATCTCACCTCGTCCCACAATACCCCGCTACCGTTCCACTTGGTTTTAGTATTCGGTAGTGAAACAACCGAAATATTGATAAGACTCATTCGCGTCCAGTTTAACAATATCCTAAACCTTGCGTTGACTTTCGCCTAGCCCGATTACCTACCTAACCCCCGTTCGGTCTTAGTAATTTGCATGTTACTCGTCATCACACAACACAATAAACCAGTTACCAGTCACAAATGACGCTTTCATATAGATTTACAATGTATTTACCGAAATAATTGTCCCATTCGCCAGCATGCGGGAATATATCCCAGCTTTTCATATAACAAATCGATTCTACTAGGTTTTACACACATGAATCCACCACACACTACTGCATCATCTATTTGCTATTTCATGCTTTTATTTGCAAATCCTTACGAAATGCCTAAGTTACAGTCCGTAGTACATCTATTCTCTCGACGGTTACTGGATCGCATTTCATCCGACGTTATGATGAGAGGACTTGCACCGATGAACAGATCATGCTCGAAGTAAATACTATTCGCTTAATATCTCGGAGAATAGTGGACTGGAATAGGTCAATATTGAGGAACAACCAATTTATACTGACAGTTCGGAATGAAACCTAAACTCATTGGTCGGACTAGGTTCAATGGATCATGTCTCGCGATTACGGGAAATATAAAGATAATATTATATTAATGACATCACCTTGCGGCACAATAGTGGAGGTGTTTTCCCACCTCTAGCCGATATGTATAATGATGATGATGAATGACATCACCACAGCAGTAAAACATGGTACGCCCATTTTAGTTGCTGACGATATCAAAACCATCTATAAGCTTCGGCGTGATCAGCTTCACGGAACGCTATTGCTCATTCAAGATGACTTACATTCCCTTGAGTTACATGAGTGACGAATCTCTCGGTTAAGAAATCAAGCATTATGTCTTACGGCTGCTCCATACCCGAAGAATCTATCACACTACTACACAGCTGTCCACGCGTGATCTTGGAACTAGGTACTCGCCTGCTTGCAATTCCTCCGAACAGGCCCAATACCAAGTAGCACGTGCCAGACAATCTACGTTCAAGGTATCCAACAAAATCCACACAACCCATGCTAGATTTGAGCATTTTAAGGTACTCACTCGCCCCAGTCTCGAATACTGCAGCATAATATACGGCAATATGAGAAAAGAGTGACAGAACTGCTGTGGAACACCTGTAGAGGTCATTTACTAAACATCCGATTTGTATACACTCTACTATGAGTTATCGAGAATGCTGAGACTGAGACTGTAGTTAAGAGCAAGTAGAAAAGTTTCTGTACAACTATCGAATTATGAAAAATCAAAAATATGTAACTGTGAATCGTCAGCGGTAGTGTTTGGTCAGTTAATCGTTTATTCTTGTTCGGTTAGGAATTTGTATTGGTGTCATAATTTCCGGGCATACGATGTATTCTTTTGGCACTGTATGTGCACAGATTTCCGAAGAAATCGTCGATACGGGTTTTAAAACACCTCACAGAATCGGCCTCTATTAATCCTTCTGGTAGTGTATTCCATAAGTTTACCATTCTTCGTTCGATACAAAGCTGATGTGATACTTTGTTCACGCTAGCGACCCTGAGTTTGTAACGGTGTCCTCGGATGTTACAGGGTTCCCGCATGCGAAATATTGGCCGCAGTATGGGGAAGTGATTAAAGTGTAGTACTCGATGAGTCATAATAAAGCCAATTCTTAATCGGCGGTAGGATAGTGTGTAGAGTCCGAGCGTTTCACAAATTTTTCATACGGAAGCTTCCGTAGACTCGGTATCATTCTAGTTGCGATATGCTGTATTTTTTCCAGCTTTTTAGTTTCCCACTGAGTCATCGGATGGTAAGTAATAGAGAGGTAAGCGGAGCCAATGTCCAGATACGAGGTCGCGCACAGGCTTACCAAGGAGCACGTGAGCTTTCTGCTGCATGCGAAGGTCACCAGCACGAGCGTGGAACGACCTTCGACTGTTTTGCCAAGTTTGGGCATCGGGTGCAACCTAATTGGCCAGCAAATACAAGCCCGAGTCAAGGGAGGCGAACCATTCTGCCAAATATAGAAAATCCGTGGGACGGAATTAAGTCACATTGGCTGAGAGCCAAACGCGTCCAAAATTAGTACGCTTCGTTCACCAATAAATAGAACTGACCTATCGTGTAGAATAGACTCCCTGTTTACCAAGCTTTGGCCTTCTGTATCCCGTCGGTTGGTTGGGCGCGTGGCTGAGCAATCAGGCGGTCGTAGTCTCGCAGGCGCAGAATAGCAGCAGTGCAGCAGTACGAAGGCAGGTTTACAACAGTAAGCTGAGGCACCGTATTCAAGGATTGGTCTAATGAGCGAGGTGAATAGACGAGGGACGGTTTCTTCGGACCAGGTGGAGAAACTGCGCCTTAATGCCCAGAGCATACGAAGTGCCGCACGGTACAATTTCTCTGTATTTTCTAGTGATCTCATATAATGTCTTGAGAGGACTCCTAAGTCTCTGACAGATGTGTTGGGATGGAGCAACTGGCCGTCCAAGGTGATTAATCGAGTGGCTGGACGTCTGGTGATACTGATGAACTCCGACTTGCTTGCGTTAAGAGGGAGTTGCATTTCAGTAAACGACGTTGACAGTCGCTCAAAGTCATGCTGGAGGCGAGCGTAGTCGTCCTGATTCTCAATGATCCTCCAGATTTTCAAATCATCTGCAAACAGGGCACATGGTGACTGGAGCTGCTGCGGAAGAGTGTTGATATGAATAAGAAATAATACTGGCCCAAGTACAGTTCCTTGAGGCACGCCATTGGTCGATGGGAACCAGTCTCTCAGGTAGTCATTGACATGTACTAAACCTTCGTCCCAAAATAAACTCGTTTAACCACTGAAGTAGCGTGCCAACAATTCCGTAGATCCTCAGTTTATGAAGGAGCACCTCGTGGTTCACTCTGCCAAACGGCATACTAAAGCTGATGTACAACACGTCAACATCCTTCCGTTCGTTAAGACATTGTGCCCACTGGTGGTTTGCGTACACCAAGTTGGTGATACAGGAGCGCCCTTTCGTAAAGCCGTGTTGTGCTAGCGTCAATACGTCAATCGACAACAGACATTTTTCACAACCTTCTTGAGAACTCTGAATAATATCGAAGTCAAACAGGTCTATTTTACTCGGATCACCACCCTTGGGAAGCGGTCTCACTATCGAGCATTTCCAGATCCTTCAGCCTTAACCACTTTGAATCGACGACAGAAGCATAATTTATCGCCCTTACGCAAAAAGCCCTATTCCGACCTGCCTACACTCGAACTACAACATAACTTAACACGAGAGCAAAAGAACGTTCGCTCTAATTTGTTCCTGCTCAGCTATAGCTATCTGTGGAATAAACTACCAATAATACTCAGATGAAGTGACAAGGTGGCAACATTTAGCAGCAAACACTTCAATTACCTTGATCTAAATACCATAATCACTATATTTACATGGAAAAATATCTAGATGAGCTATTTCAAGAGAGGACCAAAAACATCTAAACACCAAAATTTTCAAAACTAGAGTTTCGCCCCAACCATCCACCAGAACGTTACTACATGAAACGCGTACCCCGATATTTCACCTATGCATGCTGCCCATGCAAAAACATGGATGCCGCTACAAGAGAGTTTCTCGCATCAAGAGAAATATACGTATTATTATTATTATTATTATTCAATGATTCCTAAGTAATATATACTTGTAAATGGATCCGATTCATATAAGCCTTTCAACTAAGTTTGTATGCCAGCAACCGGAGTAGAGGGCAAGACCAACCCAGTTTGAAGTATGTGTGGCCAGTGGGAGCGCTTCTGCGTTGGGGTGAGCTAATAATGGAAGTGTACCTAGCCATAGAGAGCATTTACTGGCCTATGCTAGTCTTGAATAGCAAGGAACCTTCTCCAAAATCATTTCTGGTTAACCTTATGCTCGGAGCCATTTTGACTGCTAACAAAAAGATAACTTCTGCGGCTTGATTGAAGATTTTTTTCAGATCTATGTCTTTTAGTTTTAGAGGTAACTTATCCAGAATTCAAAATAGTCGTACCGGTTACACGTGCAATCGGCGAGAACCGAAACGTAATCGAATGCTGAGCAGCCTTAAAGAAAACTACGCAACGCTAATTCCGCGGCTACGCGTGCTTGCATGTGCTGGCCTCATTGCATACAAATTGAGAGACCACAAGATGGAAGAAGGACACCACTATTCTCATCCCATCATAGTAGTCATCGTTGATACTGCTTCGCGAATAGATCACACAATCACGCAAACACCAAAAGTTCAATAAAACAAGCAGAGCACAATGTGAGCTGAAACTACACAGCGTAGAAAACAAATATCCAGCATAAATAACGCATACTGGCTGTCGCGTGCTGGGCGGTTAAATGATGAAGGAAAAAGCTACCTGTAATTTCCCCAGAAACTGCCCTATAGCCGGCTTGGCGATGGTTGCCAGTTTGTCCCGTTCCAGGGTTATTAGCAAATCGGGAGCACCGTCATCGCCCACCACCTCCTGTACACGCACCATGGACGCGTCCGCTTCGAGCAATACCTTGTTGGGAAGAGAGGGTGAACAGTGAAGAATGTTGTGAGCACAAATACACAGTGCACAAGCAACTTTCGAAGCAAATGATACATATCACAGAGAAAAAACAAGCGCTTCAACCTTATCTTAGTGAGATACACCATTCCGTGGTATGGGATACCAAATGCAAGTAGCCCGTCGGCGTGAATACGGTTAGATTCCGTAGCAAATCTGGAAGTTCTCCTAACTTGAGCTCGAATATGGCAGTGTGCATATAAGGAGAACTGCCAAAATGTCTACGGGTAGAAGCACAAGAATTTGACACGTGAAAAAAGTGAGCAAAGGTAGTAACTTGCTAGAGATCCTAATCATGTATAAGTCCCTCAGTGAACTGCCTGGGACCAGCTCAGATGCCATACAGGGGTGGCACGCGAAAGCACATGCACGCCTATAGATTGGAGAAGCGGATCCCATTAAAAATGCCTTTATTTTCGACTGGTTCTTCGTCATATCCTCTTTACGCGATGATCGAAAACCAGCCATCACGAGATAAAAACCAAGAAGGCTCCATAACTGGGCAGGTATGTTCTGTTCAGCAATTACACATTAAGTGTCAGGAATTCACCACCCGTTTCAAACAAATTGCGGACCAGCCATGCGCAAGCAGAAACACACGTGCTTGTGTGGGTTCCACGAATAGAGGTTGCTCACATCGACACCTGCATTGTCTTATCCAGTCGTTGCTCCCTATAACCTGGGATGTCCGTGTTAGCTTTGGCTAGTAGGATAACCGGAAAGTCTGAGGCTGGTGATCCTATGAACTGCGTTAGTTTACGGCCACTAAACAGATGTGACAGGCTGAAAACTTTCAAAAGACGCTCAGGTTTCTCAATCCCTACACTGGGTTGCCTGTATGGATCCGAGAGGAAGGAGAAAACCCTAGCGGATGTTGCTGCACACATCTATGAGTGAATCAGCGCCATACCACACTGAAACCCAGCAATGAACCTTCCAATCTAAAATAAAGAAGAGTGTGACGTCACGTCGAAGTCTCCTATCAGCGAATCACCTTTAGAGTGCTGCCAAAATCCATCTACAAACCCTTAGATCCTGCAGTGTTATAACCTTCCCACTAGGCACTTTACTGCTTCACAAAAATTTAGCCTAATCGAAGAAAAAAGCAGAAAAGCAATGACCATGACAAAATAACGTGTTAACCACCGTCAACAAAACACTGTACCACTGCAGCAGACCTTGGCTGTATTTGTAAGTCTTTTACTGACCTTCGAATTCTGGAATAGGAAGGCCAACCGACAAGGTTAGTTGTTTCACATAGATTTGACCGATCTTCAGGAGGTTGGTAGTCACGTACAGGCGTTAGAATATTCCAGAACGCTCGAAATTGATGTGATAATCGATGACAATCGATTAGTCGCTGAAATAATGGATTTTCTGAGGAATTATTATCCGCCCCCGGACACCTACCTTTCGGAGATGGTGTCCGCGGTAGATGATGAAAGCCCGTAATTAACTTGCAGTCTACTGGACGGTGTTCTGTGCCTGTCTGCCCGTTTCCTGAACTGAAGTGCTCGAGAACTGTGATCCGACGTCTGAGGTCTGATTTCCTTGTTCGACTGAGAGCAGTCGTTCACAGGCTCTTTTGGAAAGTTGAAGCTTCACCAATAAGTCGAACGGGAGATCGGCAGGCTTTGCTTCTTCTGGTTGGCACAGCGTTGGCCGTAGCTAGTTTGCATGCCGTGCCCAGATCTGTGCGCCCAAGATCACGTCATACGTGACATTTCCGCGCTTGTTTTTGACCGTCTCTGGCGTCCACTTCGCATGGCTTTCCCGATAGTCAGGTACTAGCACTGTCTGTTCAAACGTGAAAGATCGTTTCTTCGCTCTATGCCGTCGGGTAAAATCTTGTTTCATTCTGCGGTTTATTTCACCAACAGAGGGTTCTGAGTGCGGTCGGATGGCGTCGAAAGGCATACGAAGCTTCCTGTTCAACATAGCATGTGCTGGAAACTCCATCCGGCGCTTATGGATTCGGTGTTGATCGGTAGATGAAAAGGAACCGGTCAACCACCCCTCTAATACGTCCCACACCTATTAAATTGTAGAGGGCTCGCTTGAACGTATCGACAAATCTTACTGCCAGGCCATTCGACTGTGGGTGAAACGGCGGTGAGCGAATGTGTTGGACGGCGCATTGCTTGCGGAATTCCATAAAAGTTACCGAAGTGAATTGCATGTCGCTGTCAGTCATAATCGCCACTGGATAGCAGAATCTGCTGAAGAGCTGGCGCAGTCTTGATACAATAGCATTTGTGGCCGTGCTATCCATGAGAAATAGTTTAGGCCATTTGCTGTATGAGTCGACTATGATGAAGAAACTTCGGCAGTTTATCGGTCCTGCAAAGTCGACATGAATGCGGCACCACGGTTCAGTCCCTTGTAGCCATGAATGGAGCTCCGCTTTTGTGGCGCTTTTAAAACATTGGCATACTTTTGACAGCGTTTAGCCAATTTTTCTAGCTGTTTATCCATGAAGGGGCAGTATACATAGTTGCGGGCAAGCGCCTTCATCCGGCTGATCCCAGGATGCCCGGTATGGAATTGCTGAATAACGTGATCCTGAAGGGTCTTGGAGATGACTACACTTTCCGAAAATAGTGTAGCCATTCACAATAGAGAGCGAATGTCTCCACAGATAGTACTATTGCAAGCGGACAGAAAAACATGAAAGTGGCTAACACGTTCTGTGGAACTGTGTGACTTTCTTGAGTACTGGGTACCGAAGCGTTTTGGCTCGTGGATCGGCTTCTGCGCTAACTTGGAAGTCGCGCAATGCGTCCCTCACCATGTAGTTGACGTCAAGTTCGAGTTCGACCGAAGCAATGACTGTGTTCTCATGTTCATACTGATGGGCATCAATTAGGCGTGACAGTGCATCCGCTTGGCCAATGGAAATGTTCGACTTGTAGTGGATCTATAAATCATACTCCATTAAGGTAAGTGCCTAACGTTGTAGCCGCTTGGCTGTGTAAGCCAGGAGGCCCCCTTTCGAACCAATGATAGCCAGCAAAGGCGTGTGATCTGTCAGGGGCTTGAAACGGCGGTCGTACAGCATTTCGTGGAATTTCTTGACAGCGAACACTATAGCCAAAGCTCTTTACTCGATCTGACTGTAATTCATCTCGACGTTTCTAAGTGTCCTGGCAGCATGGGCGATTGCTTGTTGAGATCCATCTGCATACATGTGTGAAATTACTGCACATCTCACACAGCTTGATGCATCTGTGGTTAGGACAATATCTTTGGAAGGATCAAAATGAGTCAAAAGCAAGTTTAAGGACGGCCATCTCTTGACCGTTCGAAGGCATTCTGGTATTCGGAGGTCCAGTTCCCAGTTGGGCCTTTGATTAGTATCTTGCTTAGCGGGGCATGCAGGCAGTGCATCGCAGGTAAGAATGCGCTGTAGTGACTGACAAACCCACAAAAGGAACGCAGGGATTGTAGTTCTTTTGGTGGAGGCAATTTCCCTATGGCTTCTAAGTTTGCCGGATCTGGTCGACGTCCATTCTATACAAGGATAAAATCAAGGTATTTGATGATCGATGTTGTGGGTCATTTTGAAGTACAAATTGTGTGGATGGATTGTGACGCGCAATCTCAATGTTGACCGCGATTCCCATTGAAGTGAACCTTGGTCTTTCGATCACGAGGACCGTAGCTGATGCAAATAGAAATTGGGTGTTGCCCGCCCGAAAACACTGCACTACTATGACGCGTTTCGATGTTATTACATCTCATCAGATAGAGTCAGCAGGCATCGAACTCGGGACCATCGGGATATTAGTTGTGACCGCTACCCCTAAGCCACCGAGTTACAGGCAACGCTTGGCACAACGGTATAATGAACGATGATGTGGGTCATTTTGAAGTATACGTTATGTGGATGGGGCGGGCAACACCCAATTTCTATTTGCATCAGCTACGGTCCTCGTGATCGAAAGACCAAGGTTCACTTCAATGGGAATCGCGGTCAAAATTGAGATTGCGCGTCGCAATCCATCCACACAACGTGTACTTCAAAATGACCCACAACATCGTTCATTATACCGTTGTGCCAACCGTTGCCCGTGACCCGGTGGTTTAGGGGTACCGGTCACAACTAACATCCCGATGGTCCCGGGTTCGATGCCTGCTAACTCTATCTGATGGATGTAATAACATCAAAACGCGTCATAGTAGTGCAGTGTTTTCGGGCGGGCAACATCCAATTTCCATTTGTATTTGATGATCGGTTAACCGCAGTCAACAAAACTCAGAACCGCTGCAGAAGACATTGGCTATATTTATAAGTCCCTTAATGACCTATGATTTCTGAAATAGGAAGACCAACTGTCAAGATTAGTTGTTCCACATAGATTTAACCGATCTTCAGGAAGTTGGTAGTCACTTGCAGGCCTTAAAAGATTCCAGAATGTCAGAAATCGGTATCAAACGATTAAGCGCTGAAATAATGGATTTTAAGGAAGATTCTTATCTTCTCCCAGACATGCAGTTATCCTCCATCAACAATTCATGGTGAGTCTCACACGGCACATAAGAATACTTAACATATACAACACACAGAGCCAGGATTAATATGATCCAGAAACCAGTGAGCGAATACTGCAATAGTATGGCCACTATACCCATCTCTTCATCTTTCTTCCTCTTTCTTACCTATACCAACGACAAAGTTGTCGCCAACGAGTGTGTTATGAGGGAGGAAGTCCATCAAACTCACTTCCACATTCCACGTCTTCATTGTCAATGTTCCTACTACTTTTATTGTTTACTCTTACGGAATCGATACTACTAAATAACCATGGAAGCAGTCATCAAATGTGCTAAAAGAAGATTGACAACTATTTTATACACTTCCGTATTAATATTCTCAAGAAACCTACCAAACTCGACATAGATATCCTATGCAACATAATGTACACATTGAAACAACAGTCAACTTTGATACG